CAGCCAGTTGCCTATGCACCGTGCTAAGTACGCCTTGTAAATTATCGTTTGCTTTTTTCCACTATTTTCATTTTTGTTATGCCAACACAATCAAGCGCAGCTATTCCGCTGCAATTCACTTGATCATGTGGTTGTTGGTATTGTTGGTTTTTGCTAATAATTCTATTTTTTTTTTTAGAATGCTTAACTTTTTAGGTGTGCTCGTCCTTAAGTTATTTGTTGAATATAATTGTTATAAAGCCGAAAAATAACAAAAACAAATAACTTAAGCAGAGTAAGCCCGTTCTTTTATACAGTTTAAAAGAATGTGACTTTTTATTTTTCAATTTTTAAGCTATTTAGTGAACCATAATTGTATTGGTTCTTCATAAACAATATTACNATTGGTTCTTCATGAACAATATTACGTATTGGCACATACTTTCGAAACAAATTGAAAACAGTATCATTAAAGTGCTCAACGCTACGCTCCACGTCATCTCTATATATTGGCCAAGATAACTTTGAAAGTTCTTTGTTAATTTTCCTGAAATTTGCTTTCGCAAAAACATATCTAGTACTTGAACTATACGACCAATTATTATGTATTTCATTTATGATTTCGTAGCTTAACTCAAGAGCGGGATGGTACGCATCCTCTGGCAAAACTAGGGGATCACACCGATTAATAGAGGCCTTCGGAACATCATCAACGTAAACAAGATCCAAGACCTTTCAAAACTATCTCTAGATGAAACTGGTACAACATCGGTGTCAATGATGTTCCATGAAATGTGTGGCAGATTTAAATCGCCCAAAACAATCATAGAATCGGATGCCGTAAGCATTGCATTTACGGTCTCAAGTAAAGAAACTAGCTGCATATACACTGCTACGGCAGAATTAGGAAGGATGTAGCAAAGAGCTAAATAAATATAACTCTTTCCAGCCTGTACACGTATACATTTAAATTCGGTATATTCAATGAGAGGAACACTAACTTCCTTGGATGGTATCGATGAATGCACCGCAAAAAGAACACTACCGCCGATTCTGCCCTCGCGGTCACTCCTGTATATTTGATATTGATTTGGAAGAATTTCGGAATTAAAAATATGAGGTTTGAGCCATGTTTCTGTCAAGGAAATAATATTATAATTGCAGTCAAAACATTTTAAATATAAGTCAGTTAATTTGGTATTCAAACCTCTAACGTTTTGATAGTAAATACTTACATTAGACTTGCGAGTTAGTTTTTTGAATCCGAATTAAGATTAAAAATTTTAGCTACGTTGTTATTATTTTTATTAGGTTTATAATCAAACTCCCCAACAAACGCCCCGGTCGGCCAAAATGAACTACTTAGTAGTGAACCAAAATCTTCGGCAGCTATATCAATTTCGCTTTCGATTTCCATTGAGAAACGGTAATCATTTTAGCTAAGCACATTATTGGAAAAGTTCTCTATTTGAAAAGGAAAAGTAATTGGATGTGCAATGGTTATCAAACCGACTTATCCAAATAACTTGTCAGTTATTCATTTTTTAATAAGTTGATACGTTTTTTATAATAAGTAAAAAGTGCAACACTTATCAACTTTACTTTTCAATAAAAATGCTTATCCAAAAGTTGTAAAGTGATAAGTCGTTGGTGCAATTGGGCCCAGAGAACCAATCAGCTGGGAAATATCGGTTTGAAAGCTATGTCACGAACAGTTTTAAATACACTGTATGTTTGACACCAAATAAACACAACGCAAACAGCTGTGACAAAGATAAAACAGCAGAAATGACAAAGCGACAAAAAGCGCAAAATCAATGTGCACAAACAAAAACAATTGTACAACAAAATATATTATATGAAACAAAACACTCGGCACATGCAATTAAGAATATCAAGTTAAATTAATCAAATTTACAGGAAATTTTGCTATTTTACTTATCTTTAAATTTTGCACCAGACGTTTAATCACCCTTTTTTTAATTTTTTCCTTTATTAAGCGTAAACAGCTTTATAAAACACAAAATTTAAACAGAACACAAAAAAGCACAGCTTCACAGCTTTGACGTTTGTGTTTATGCGCGTTCGTGCGCATAATTTAGTATGAAGGGTTTGTAAATGTTTTCGTTTTGTCATTTTTAAAACGAAGAAATAGGAACTGGTTTAGAGAAATAAAATAAATGTGTTCGTTAATTTTGATCAAAATTCATAAAACGATAAGAGTATAGGGGCACGATATCGAACCGAAAGTATCGATATGGTACTCATTTAAAGTATCGCTGGCAAAATATCGGGTACCCATTAATATCGGAATAAAAAGACTCGACATCGCAAATATCGATACCAAAAGAAGTATTTCTGCCATGAAAAACAGCTTCTCATAAAAACGCCTTTTGTGGCACAACATCATGGCGCACGCAACGAATCGGAGGAGAAGCTCGGCCAAAAGCTAACATATTTTGTAAGCGCCGATCTATTATTTTTACACGTAGAGATTGAGGTGTTGACTTAAAACACCGAGACCGCGTGTTCAAATCCCGCCACATGCAATCCTAACGATAGTAAAAAATTTCTGTTCTTTAAAGCCCAATTTATATCGGGAAGAGTTGATAATCAGATAAGTCTTGAAAGCAATTTTTTCGCATTCTCTTTTGTGTTTTCTATTTCCTTCCAGACGCGTCAACTGTTATTGAATTCAAGTTCATGGTTCTTTAAATGGGAGGTATCTGCACTCTTCCTCTTTCTTCTCACCTCCTTCGCCTTGGAACGAGCAGACTTGAAAGCAAGACTTGACATGTCTGAAAGCTGACTAATTTGAGTTTATGACATTCGATACGATACTAGGATTCTGGTACTCGATTGCAAAAAAATATCGTTTTAAAACTATCAAGTAAAAAATATCGGTATCGAATGCCAAAAGTATCGATATGGTATCGTATCGTATCGAAATTCGTGTCCCTAGAAGAGTACACTCAATGTTATCAAGCTATAATTTTTTTTTTACTTTTACGCCTATTTCTTAGAGTTTGTGGTCAAAGATAAGGAGGCTTTGGATGCTTTCGAGAGAACTATTATACGCAAGATCTACGGCATTTTCTCGTGGACGACGGGTATCGGACAAAAATGGAATGGCGAACTGTAAGAGAGATGAAGACGCTGTGATTAAAAGATCCTCCGACTCCGCACCGATGGGTAGGGATGTTCCGATACAAGTAAATACGATTATGTACTCGATACTTTTGTTTCGATACCAGCAACTTTTTTTACTCGGATGGTTGTTTCGATACCTACTTGTTGTTGTTTGGGAACCTACTTCTAGTGGTACTAATGAACAAATATACATATCGATCTCAACTGAAAATATATTGAAAATATTTGAGATTGGGCATTTTGAATCGGCAGCTGAGATAGGGCGTTCTTGAACCGAATTCTGAAATAGGGCGTCTTTGAAAAGTTTTCTGGTTTGTTTTGGATTTTTTATGAATTTAAAAAATAAAAAAAAATTAATATTTTAGGCAAAAAATATTTTTTTCTTCATACATTTATTTTTACCGGCAAAACTGCTGATTATATAGAAAAACGTTATATGAACAGATTAAAGGAGTTGTAATTTTTAATTTTTTTTAATTTGTTTCAGCAAAATCGGACTAGTGGTTCTCGAGTTATGTCAAAAAAAAAAGACCACCAAAGGTGACAATTTCCCCTATATGATAGTTACTAACTTCAGATCGATATATCTCGATTCCTAGACGTGACCCAGCGAAACGCCGGGACACGTATAACTTCTTTTTTACCGATATAACTTTCCCCGGTAGTTTGAACCCTTCCCGATCACTGACCCCTACCATTTGTCTCACAGTGTTTTCGATATAAGTAGGTGGCGATTCGAGTAAACTCATTTGAGTAGGTATCGATGCTTTGATAGTAACATTAACCGATTTTGACGTTCTTTCGGATTTATGCTTTTCTGCTAACAACCAGCATATAGTCTGAACTTGTTAAAAATCGGATAAAACTCACCATTTTTGCACACGCTGTGGGCGTGCTAGTGCGTCGACTTTTACTATTTTCCTCCTCACTTTATTTCTAAGTGCAGAGTAAAGCATATACGAAATTTCAGCGAATTTTTAGTACGGTTACTACTTTTGGCGCAAGCTTATATGGGTATGTTGCACTGAGCGGTGTTAAGCATTTTCTTTCAGACAAAGTATGTAGATATGTAGATATATTCGAAAATTTAATTATATAAAAGAAAGTGCACTTCAAGAGTTTTGACATACATATAATCAGGATAGCGATAAGAAATTTGATAGGGTTGATCAGTTAAAATCATATTTCTACATATACATAGGTACATATTTTCACGTCTAAAGTGCTCGATTCCAAAATGCTTTTTTTTTTTGAACATGCAAAAAAATGTTTGAAGCTATGAAAGTTTAGCCATTTTAGAATTGTTGTAGCATTGTAGCTTTTAATTTTAAATGCAGCACTTTGGCTATAATTGTAGCCAAACTTCAAGGCTGAATGAAATTCAAGCCAAATGTTAGGCGTTCATAGTTACCTAAATCCATTTCAATAAATGTTTCCGATGTTTCTTATACAATTTTTATTGATTCCATTTGTTGTGCATAACTATTTTTATACCAAATAAACATTTTTTAAAATATTGCTTTAAAACAGCAACTTCTTAACAGTACATTACCTAAGTAAAATGAGATATAAGCAGTATATATGTAACCAGCCAAACCCGATCTTAGGACAAACTAGTTTTTCATAGGCTAAACTAGTTCTAACTAGATCCGATACATTCATCCAACGCGGAATCAAGTTGGACGCAGCAATATTGTGGACTGCGTAGTTGGAGTTGGACTGATGACGGTTATTTTTTTGAAGCGCGGCCGATGGCCGCTTGCGCCGAAAGAATTTCTGCTCAAAAATACTATGGCGCCTGATCTAGTTTAGCCTAGGCAAAACTAGTCTGTCCTAAGATCGGGTTTGGCCGGTAACATATCGTTGCCTTAATATAGAAAGGCCCTATCTGACATCGTCGCTGATTTACAAAAAGTCGTAACTAACTAAAAATTGAAAATTTACGTTTTAATTGATTATGATGCATTTGATCGAATTATGTGGCCTCACATCGTTTTATGCAATAAAAGATTTTAGTTAGTTACGGCTTTGTGCATTTCAGCGACGATGTCAGATAGGGCCTTTCTATATTAAGGCAACGATATATATACATATACATAACGTACAACTAAACAGATCAACCCGCACGGTAACCGTGTATTTGTAATTGCCTTTGAGAAAAAAATAAATAATTGATGACGTAATTTTTTAATCGGTTGTTTCACTGACACATGGTATCTTTCCGTTTTATTCACGGCAGTGAAAAAATGGCGTCACTGCAAAAAAAAAATACTTTTTTCTCGCACGCCGTCCTGGGTGATCTTATTCGTTCGTTCATGATACATACTTATAGCGCTAACATAACTATCAGGTATTCTATTGTTTACAATCAGACTTATTAGGAAACAGGGTCCAAGAAACTACATATATATGTACACAAGCACTAAGACGTGCACTCCTATCCTTATACACTTCATCAATTTATAGAAAGTTAGTTCCCCGTCATTGAAACAAGACTGGTTCGACGCGATGGCACTTGCATCGCACTCTTTTTACCCGGTTTCGTGATGAAGAATCCAAGAAAACCGCTCAATATCAATGATACACCCGACACGATAAATGCAATATCACAATGATTACTTAGCAGAGCACCAACAACATTTGCACCGACAACGCTACCTAAGCGACCCATCATTAGAGAAATGCAAACGGCCATAGCTCTGCGGGCGAGAAAGAGGAGTATAACAAAAATTAGTTGAGTCAACAACCAATGAGTTCGTTAATTACCTAAGTCTCGTAGGATAAAGATCAACAGTGGCAGCGCTTAAAACATTAATTCCCAATCCACAGAGTAGCAAAATTACGTAGAGATATATTGCAACCATGGGGACATCTGCATAGGTAGCTGCTATACCGCAAATACCACAAACGGCTAGGCACATAACTGCAAAGTAAGAAGCTATTTATGAGATGCAAATTTCATATAGCGTTCTAACTACTTACAAAGAATAATATGCTTGCCAACTTTATTGATGATCCCGCCAATGAAAGCGAAGCCCACGGCGTACAGCACCTCTAATACTAAGGAGTGCTGGTATGTTGAGATTTCTAACTTTTCATTACATTGCTCTACTTGTGAGCTAATTCCGTCGCTGGTTGCTCCAACATGTGCGCTCTCTAAATTAAAAATACTCTCTTGTTTGCTGTAGACCACCTGGCATATATAAGTGCGATTGCCGGGATTCTCATTCATAAACTCAGCGACGCTATTGAGGATGTGCGGGAACCACATGTACATCCCGTTTGAAGTAACGAAAATCCAAAACTGTATGGAACAGATGAGTACGGTGGTGCGCATGTATTCGCGGTTAAAAAGTGGCTGAGTTTGATTCCACATGGAGCTAAGCAGAGAAATAGTTGCATTAGAGTTGCGCTCGCGTTGGATTTTTGGACTAATTGTGTGGTCGATGTCTTCGACTACGCGAGAAATCTTTAGAAGTGAAATATACATATTAAGATATACGTTTCATATCCATAGACGTCTGATTACTTACCGGATATTCATCACGTGGTCTGCGAGTATTCGCCTGGAACATCATCTGCAGAATTTCAAGAGTCTTCTCCTCGTTGCCCTGACTCAGTAAGAATTTAGGACTCTCTGGTATCTTGAACAAGGCCAAACCACACAAGAAACCCGGAATGCCGCATACAACCATGAAGAAGCGCCAAGGCTTGTAGTTAAGGTTCAAATAAGGAATTACAAAACTCCACTCCTGATTAATAACCAACCAAGCTATGCACGGCATCAGCATAGAACCAACGCCGAAAATAAATGCTGACCCCATGATGGCACGTGAACGATTCTTGGCGGTATGAAATTCACCCAAAAATGCGTAAATAGTTGCCGAGCCACCGGATATGCTAAAGTGAGTTAGAAAAAAAAAATAAATAATTAGGGAGCACTCAACCTTAGGATATTACAAATTTGTTTACTCTAATTTGCATAATTAAAAGTAAGAGGCCAAGAGGAAGAAATTCGTATGGTCTGATTATGGCAACTTAACGTAACTTACAGGCTCTTACTTAAAAATTATCTTAAATGGATGTTGCTTATAATTAAACGGCCAAAACTTAACGTAACTTAATGCCGCGTCGAAATCTGTTTCATTTTGATGTCCTAAGTTCTAAGTTCCGTTAAGTTAAACTAAGTTCCCATAATCAGGCTTTTACTCACCAAAATCCATTGATGTACCGTAATATCATCATTAACCAAAAATTTGTAGCAAAGCTTGAAAGAACTGTTACTACAAAACCCAGCAACAAAGTCGGTCGAATAATATTTCTGCGGCCGGTCGTATCTGCCAAGAATCCCCAAAGGTGTGAGCTACTAATAATGCCCGCAAAACCAATAGCGCTCAGTATACCACGCTCCTGTATGCTTAAGTGTAGATCACATTGTGAGACGGGCAACACGAAACTGATGGCAAGCGTTTCGAGAAGTACATTTGCCAAAATTAAACCGGACACAAGTATAACTAAGTAGTTGAATTTGCCAAAAGCTGCAAAAAATTATCTCAAATTAGTTTATAGACAGATGTGTATGTATGTATGTATATTGTAGAGTATCATAGTAGTGGTATTCATCTAAACCGATAACTTTATCAAGCAGATAATCTTATAAGTTTATGCACTCTGTTACATGAACGACCCACACTCTCTTTTCGTTTACACATGCGACAATAGTCGTGTTTTCTTTGGTTATAAAGCGCAGTGTCACTAACTTTATACTACTAGCACGGGGATAAAGAAATTATAGAAACTACCTCACTAAATTGGAAAAAATTATATTTACGAGATATCTATTTAAATAAATGTACATATAACATAAAGGCTATTTATTTGAAGCAAGTTATAAGAAACAATGGCAGAATGTCTGTTTGTGTATGAATTCATTTGTCACGGCTACCAAACTTTGCGAATTATCAGTGAAACAAAACAAACAGACGGGATAATAATTGAACCAGATCTCTATCAGGATCATATCGTTGTTGAATTTGCGTGCAAAATTTGTATGCGGATCCCGATTATTGCCTAAGAAAACATAGCTAGAGTTGCGACAGAGTTGCATTGTCTTCAGTTTATCAAGTTTATTCAGTGAAATCGCTGGATAAATTTATCAGAAATGTGTAAACGAGTTTCCATACAAATTTTGACAGTTCATTTATAAGGTTTACACAATTATAAGTTTATACGGTTTACAATGCATTTATAAGGTTTGATGAATACCCTTAGTGTATAACACACATTATATTGCTACATACTATTATTGTTAGTCTGTTGGCACCTTAAATAAAAGAGGTTACTTTAAGAAGTGAATACATTGAAGTTTCGTAAAATAAAGACATTCTATTCGCTACCTTAGCACAGTACGCATCGACTTTTATTCCGCGATTGATATACTACATTGGCGACGAGAACGAACTCAACACGTTTTCCCTTTTTTTTGAGGGGACGTTTTTTTTCGCTTGAGGTGAACATTTCGATTGGTGTGGAGTAGGGATAGAACGATACGAGTACCGAGTACAGAATATCGATACTTTTCATGAGTACTGAGTAGTATCGAAAACTCGATACTTTTTGACAAGTACTGAGTAAATATCGCGAATGCCGAAAAGTATCGACGAGTTGAGATTTTTTTTAAATAATATTTTTTTAATTACCCCATAAATATTGTGGCGAACGTTCGAATATTAACTTCAATATCCAATATGAATGTTATGAAAATTAACATAAAGCTCATTTACTTCAATACTGTCACAACTCAAAAAACTTAAACCCTGAGAAAAACGTCTTTAAAGTTTTAAATTCACATATCGTCACCATCTTGCCAAAAGCATGAATGTGCAAATTTATTAGCGTTGAGTTATTAGGTTGACTTATTTAACCTTTGGATGTTCTATGTTATACCAAAACCGAGAATACCATGCGTACACGGAAAGCACATATCGATCCCTTTGCGCAAAATTATCGTATGTTACAAAAACCAAATTTTACAGGAAAGTATTTTTTGTATTTTTCTCTACTACCATCAATACTAAAGTTTAGATTTGCTGAGATATTTGAGAAATATAACTAAACGCAAGATTTTTTGTAGTAAGCTCTCTACATTCAAATTTCTTAGCACATATGATAACTTCGCTCACAAGAAGAAAATCACCGTCAACGATCACAGCGCACGGCAGTGCGCGCGAGTGACGAAGCATCCACAGTAGCATGCCTCGCTTATATATACACGAGATTTGGAAGTTTTTATCCAGACGTTAAATCGACATATTTGATATATCGTTGGAAAGGTCTTGCAGAGTGTGTCCAGAAAGTATATTCAAGCTTGTTAAACGATTAACCGGAATCTTAAAAATTTGGCTAAAGTGTTGCGAAACAAAACACCTTTTTTTTTGCTTTTCCCGGTTTAAGGGGGCATGTGGGCACATCCAACATATTTAGTGTTATTCTATAGGCCAATACCTTTCAAACGATACCTTATTACCATATTAAGTTCCGGCCACTAGTTGGAAAGATATAGAGGTAAATGTGTTTTGGTTCGTGTCTCCACTACGAGATGCTTTGGTATGTATGTGGCGTCTGTACGNATATAAAATTCGTCCCTTGTTAATCTGTAATTATAAAATAATCTCAGATTTAACCGATAACTTTTCGGTGTCCATCCTAGTTTTATCGATTGTTTTTGCGAAAGAGAGAAGAAATGCCAAATGTAAAAGTAAACAAAAATGTACGCTAGCAAGTAAAAGAGGTTTGTAAAGGTATTTTTAATAAAATGTTAAGTTAAAATATATTTATATTGCTTATTATAGCAGAAAAACGTGATAACGGTGGCACAGAGAAGAAACATAACTTTTCCTTGAAATGTGAGAATAACAAGCACAACAAATTTGACGGCTAATAATCTGAGATTTGCCTGTGTAAACGGGGCGATTAAAAAACGAGCTTTGATCGAGATAATATTGATATGTGAACATAGTTTTAAAGTACACAAAAAACTAAGAAGGTTTTGTTCCAGGATGTTTTGATTCGTATGCCTGTGTGGGCGTGGGTGCTGCCTGAAATTCGAAAAAAGGCAATTTTTTTAACTACCACTGAGTCCGCACTACTTAGTCCATGTCATTGATGTGGATATCAGTAGAAAGGTCTTCAAACAAGCTATCTAACGCTATCTTTTGTGTTTATAAAATATAAATACGCCATAACGTTATCGGCTGAAAACTAAAAATCGGGCTGCTGAAAATAGAGATTTCGGGCATTTTCTCAAAAACTGGTCAGTCGATTTTATTCTAAGTTTTCACAAGTCTAGCCCAAAACCTAGGCTTTCATCTAGTATATAGCTTATATCTGGAAAAACTCTTGTTGTGGAGATATTGCTATTCAAATTAAAAAAATTTCAATCCAAAAAGGGTTAAATGGTTCAAAATTTACATATCCGTCTAATTTGGTTAGTTTAGGATATAAAAATAATATACCCAGTTCCCCGAAAAAATCGCCCATTCTCCGATTTCCACTTAAACTGAAATTCCCTGCAAATCGGGGAATTCCCCGCGAGTTGACAAGTTGAAGGATTCAGCTGTGCTAATCACTTTGTACAAGTCTTGGAAACCACAATTTGTGTGTATTTTTCTGTCACATGCCGAAATTGTATGAATAAAAAAGATTTTCCGTACGTTTGAAAGGCAGTTAAAAAATGCATATAATTTTCGTCACGAAATTGATCTCATAAGTTTTGTGTTTCTCGTTCAGCTTTCGTCACTCGAAAATTTTACCTCAAAGAGGTGTTTTATTTGATAAAATATACAATCAATTTTAGGGGTAGCTATTGGGATTTAAGCCGTAACATTTGAACAGGTGATGCGTTATGGGTTGTAAAACAAAGTTGCATCAAAAAGTCAATTTCGTAAAAAATGTAACGTACATAATTTTGGGCAAAGGGGTCGATAAGTGGGCGGCTCTGAGAAGAGTTCACTCAGAGGACACAAAGGCCCATTGCGATGTTGAAAGGGGTCGATACTATTTTACAATTTCAATTGCATAAATGTAGAGTTAAGTCTCGTAAAAAAAAACTTTCAAACTTGATATCCCAAAATTTTCATTTCTAAGCATTCATGTTTATGGCACACGGGCGACGATATGTGTACTCCATACTACTAATTAATACATATTTTGTTCTAGTGATACTGGTAATTGACTCAGTTATGAAATTTTTACACAACCTAGAAGAAAATGTAGCGGTCATTTCAACATTGGATTCGGTTAAAAATATTTAAATAATTGAAAAACGAATATATTGCCTCACCTTTGATAATGAATGGTGGAAGTGGGAGTCTCTCTCCACTCTGTAGCATAAGGCAGCCGTCGTTAACCCATGTATTCTACCTTCGTTGTGAATTCGAAATCTAGCCCATTCTTGAAGAAAATTTTTACGAAAGAGAGCTTGTCTTTCCTATAGAGAATGGGCTTCACCCCATTTGCTTCTCGTCTTCTACATTTGCATTTCATTTTCAAAGTAAAGTTATTTGTAAATACATATACGCGTCAAACAATTATAAAATATATGCTTTTAAAAAATTTAAATAAGCTTTTTGCTATACACATTTAATTTACGCATGTAAAACTAATCTTATTGGAAGTTTATTCCAAAAACTCCTTTAGATAAGATTAAAACTATTAAAAGCAGTTACTATTCAATTTACAAATAGGAAGAGGTGAAAAAGCAAAGCAATCTGATTTTTTTTCCTTTTTACGTTTGCTTTGAGAATACTTATAAGTACGAGTATTATCGATACTTTTTTGCAAGTATGAGTACTGGCATCGATTCTTTTTTAGAGTATTCTATATGAGTACTAGTATCGACACTTTTCTAAAAAGTTCTATCACTAGTGTGGAGAGTGAATTTAACACAGTTGTATGAGATTCAGATATTTTCTGAACTGCTGCTGCTAAATTGATTTATAAAATCAGAAACAGTTTTTAACTGTGACCTTCATCAAAATGGGCAAGGATTCCATGCAACCAAACGTGATTCCAACAAATGCTCCTGAATTTGATCCGGCCATAGACAAATTTTACATATGGAAAGAACGTTTGGAAATACATTTCAGTGACATCGGGTACGATGATGTTAGCCGAANGTGTGGAGAGTGAATTTCACACAGTTGTATGAGATTCAGATATTTTCTGAACTGCTGCTGCTAAATTGATTTATAAAATCAGAAACAGTTTTTAACTGTGACCTTCATCAAAATGGGCAAGGATTCCATGCAACCAAACGTGATTCCAACAAATGCTCCTGAATTTGATCCGGCCATAGACAAATTTTACATATGGAAAGAACGTTTGGAAATACATTTCAGTGACATCGGGTACGATGATGTTAGCCGAAAAAGAGCAATTCTACTCAAATCAATCGGATCATCGCCCTACGAGTTATTACGAGCATTGTGTGACCCGGTACCACCAGTCGAGAAGACATTCGACGAACTTTGGAAAATTT